TACTAATAATAATAATAATAATAAGCTTAAAATAATCAATGCCAATGATCCTTAGTGATAACTGTCTATGATCAAAAGTAGCAGTAATACTAATGACAACAGCCATCAACAATAAGGACAATGACAAGGTACATGTAGCCATAGTTACGCCAAAGAGCGCTTTTATTAACTGAGAGCCGGAATACCAAGAAGAAAACAGAGTCATTGCTGAGCCAGGGATCATCATCATCGTCATTCCAGGCATGACGCCATAGGGCATTGACCTATCAAGCAGACTTACGGTCACGGTCAACCGCTCCTACCTTCTAGGGCCCTTTCCCATATTCAGAACTGCCCCCTAATCATGAATACTGAATAATACAAGAGAAGACCTTGCAATAAGATGACTCGCCCAGAGCCTAAAGCCAAAAAAAAACTGGAGGAGGTCTCTAGGGGGAAGCGATGAGATCATTACCAAAGGCCGGCAGAATTAGAAGGAAGTCTTTTCTTCAGAGCTATGTGTTTTGCTGAGAATTTTTGTGTCTGCTGGAACAGCTCCTTGAAGTTGGATGCTATTTGCAACAACCGCTGAATCTTTCTTTTATTGAAAAAATCAAGAGTCAATACCCAGACCCCTGGGAGGATCTGAAAGTTAGATCCCCTATACAGACCCATTATAACCCCTATATAATTCTATATAATTCTTCTATAATTTCCCCTATGGTTCTAGGGAATCTAATTTTTAGATCCTTTTGGGGGTCTGGGTAGGTATGATCCCTAGAAGGGACCGCTAATCCTACTACCGCAGCGCACATATTCCCGCTACATACCTAGGCGGTCCCCAAATTTCCCTTCTGGGTTACAACGTGCCCCACGAAGGGTCCCGGCCTGTAGCCCCCAAGACCCTAAACCCTGCACGCTAAACCCTTAAACCTCAACCGCTCTGTTGTTCCCAGATTCCTAGGCCCTATACCCAGTTTGTCTATATTTCAGTTTCCACAATTCGAGGCATCCTCAACCCAAAGCCCTACATAGCAGTTTCATTGTCTTTTCCATTATCGTTATCCCTATGTATCCCTATTAATGCTATACAAGCAAGGCAGGCCTCATCATGCCCATCATAGGCGCAAACATAGCGCTATGGCCCATCATTCCAACATCTGGATACTCACCGCGCTCCTGCAAGGATAGCGGTATAGACTACGTCTGCCCACATCTGCTGCCGCAATGCACACGTCATTCCAACACATCTGCATGCCAGCATGTGAGTCCTTTCTCTTCTTGTGCTTCTTCTTTTTCTTTTTCTCCTTCTCCTGTTTTTTCTTTTTCTTCTCCGCCTGCTTCTCCTGCGCGCGTTCTGGCGTGGGCAGCAAACGCAATAACATGCATCACAGGTCTGGTCGATTGCGAACAGTTGCGACGCTGTCGAACTTGAGAACCTGAAAGCAAGACAGAAATGCCAGCGACATGGGCATTTGCCACGCTTTGGCGCAGGTCCACATCAAAAGCCTAAGTAGAATTTCCGCCATGGTCCTGGCTTTTGCCTCTAGAAGAGCCCCATGCGACATATGTTGCCCTTGCAGCCCCGCAAGCAGGATACTGTGGTACTCCATCTGAATCCCTACCAGCTCGATATGATCCCGTAGAGTCCGTAGAGCCCCTTCTTATTTGGTTACTCTTGACGGGCCATAAACAAATCAAAAGGTCTTTATGGGGTTCTTCACACCCTAGACCTGAAACGCCTAAACCCCAAGCCCTAAACTCAAAAAGCAAAGATGTTTAGAGGCTCCCTCACTCAGCAGAAGCTTGTGTCGGCCTGCCGTGTGGGCTTCGGCCGTACCGTTTCAGGTGGAGCCTCGTTCAAGTGCAAATGCAGATGTTGAATGCTGCTCCCAACCTAGAACAGGCACCCAATACTGAAATTGTAGTAATAGTACACCCGTAGTAAGGTTCGTATGTATGGCAGTGGTAGGGTGGGGGGGAACATAGAATCTATCTTCACAAAGCACACTCAGGTGTCCACTATCTGGGGTTCGATTATCTGGGTTGCTGTTAAGGAACTTAAATTAAGTTACTATATTGGGGAAAACCTATTGTTTACTATATATACCCATTATGGTAACTTAATTGAAGTTCCTTAACAGCAACCCAGTTATCCCCTTCCCCAGGGTTAGGACCACCAGGGGGGGGGAAATTACATGGTGCAAATCAGCCAAAGTGTGCGCACACGGGTGTGCGGTGAACTTGTGGTCTGCACGCCCTTCCTCTGAAAAAGGCTCCTCAATCGACGCCCTTCCAGAAAAGGACCCGGAATGGCTCTGGATCTCATCTCTAAGGGATTTGAAGCCCCAGTAGAAAT